AAGAAAGAAAGAAAGAAAGAAAGAAAGAAAGAAAGAAAGAAAGAAAGAAAGAAAGAAAGAAAGAAAGAAAGAAAAAGGCGGAAAGGCCGAGGGGCTCCAGTACAATGAATTCCCTTACCCGTAAACCTGCCCCCGCCTCCTTTCGGGCACGAGCAGCCCGGGCGAGGAGTAGCTCATGGAGGGGCCCCCGTTGGCCAGGACCCTTTCGCTGCTCTTGGGGGCAAAGGAGATGCGGTGGGTCAGCAAGGGGGTCCCCCTCCGGTCCTTGCCGCCGGCGCCTAATCCCGAGGACACTATCCAGGATCCCGCGGCCGCCGCCGCCACGATCAGGGAGAGCGCAGCCCCGGAGAGGCCCAACACGAGCACCAGCAAGGAGAGCGACGCCGCCGCCAGTCCCGCCACCGCCAGCACCGCCACGGGAAAGGCCCAGGCTCCTTCCGGGAAGCCGGCGCCGGCGCCCACCCTTCTCCTGGCCCGTTGCTGTTGCCGCCCCCGCCGCCGCGACGGAGGCCACCAGCCCCAGCCGGGCGCCGAGCCGCCCCGAGACATCGAGGCCGCGACGGCTGCCTCCCCTCCTTTCCTCTCACAGTTCCCCTTCCCTTGCCCGGCATGCACCGCGCGCCGAAAGGAGAGCGAGCGACGGGCAGCCGGGCAGGCGAGCTGAGGGGTGGGCGTGGCCTTTGGAGGTTGAAGGAATTTGCGCGAAGAGAAAGGGGGCGTGGCTCCTGGAGGCGGGGGGGTCTCGTAGACGGGGAACGGGGGGAGGCGGTTGCGGTCGGGGTAGAGAGCGAGAGAGACCTTGAGGGAGGGAGAGAGGGGGGGGCGTTCACTGATTGATGTCTGAACTAGCTAACTGACCAAAAGGCGGCTTCTCTTTCCTCCCATTTCCTTCTGAAGGGAAGTCTGTGTGGAGATTCTCAGTCATCCAGGTCATAGTTGTCCCAAAGGTGCTTTTTTTCAGGAGGCAACTGGACTTTCTTGTTTTCTCCTTTGAAGACGTTTCGCTTCTCATCTAAGAAGCTTCTTCAGCTCTGGCAGGATGGTGGAGAATGGGAGGATTTATATTCCTTGCAGACAGCTAGCAGTTAGACTTATATACCGCTTCATAGGGCTTTCAGCCCTCTCTAAGCGGTTTACAGAGTCAGCATATTGCCCCAACAACAATCCGGGTCCTCATTTTACCCACCTCGGAAGGATGGAAGGCTGAGTCAACCCTGAGCCGGTGAGATTTGAACAGCCGAACTGCAGTCAGCTGAAGTAGCCTGCAGTGCTGCACTCTAACTACTGTGCCACCTCGGCTCTATAAGCTAGTTCTTTGCATCCTTTTAGAGCCCAATGCTGGGAAAGATTGAGGGCAAAAGAAGAAGGGGACCACAGAGAATGAGGTGGCTGGATGGAGTCACCAAAGTGTGATCTTAAATGGACTCTAGAGGATAGGAGACCCAGAGGAACGTTGTCCATAGGGTTAGGGTTAGGACACAATTTTGCAACTAACAACAACCGAGGGTTGTTGAAGCACTTGGCGGGTTGGTGACCCTGAGGACACAGATAAACCTCCAAGAGCTTCAGGGACCCTCTAAAAGGATGCAGATGACCAGCTGTCTGCAAGAAATATGAATCCTTCCATTCCCCATCATCCTGTCAGAGCTGAAGAAGCTTCTTGGATAAGAAGTGAAACATCTTCAAAAGAAAAAAACAAGAAAGTCCACTTATCTTCTGAAAAAGCACCTTTGGGACTTCTGAAGGGAAGGAACCATTCATGTCACCCTAAAATGGACTGCACAAGCAGAATCTCTTTTGAGGGGGTCCTTGCTGCTTTCTGAGCTTATTTGTTTTCTTTCCAGACATTTCATTACCCTAACTAGGTAACATCATCAGCATTGTGAGTAAGGAGTGCTGTGTATACCTCTTCTATCTCTCACTTATTTTCGATGGGGAACACTGGAGTGATAATCTTGTATACCTGTTGATGGCGCTTCATCTTAGTATAAAGAACAGCTTATGATATTGCCGAGGGCAGAAGCTCTAGCACTTTATTAAAAGTCTGTCGGCAAAGTTGACATTTTTGAGAAGTTATTGATATGAAAGGCACTTTGACAGCAATTCAAGAATTCTCAAAGATAGTAATGTGTAAAGGTTCAGCATGCAAAATGTTTAAAACTGGTTTGAGAAAACGCTAAGGAGCACGAGACATTGCTCTTGATGCACACTTGATAATTGAGAAAGCCCAAGAATAATATATCAATCATATTAAAACTCTGAAAAGTGCTCAGAAAATTGGGAATCCCAGAATATTTCGTTGTCCTTACGAGAAACAGATATAGATTAGGACGCCCCAGTATGGACAGAACATAGAGGGAAAGACCTGACTTCACTTTGGCAAAGGAGAAAGGTTGTATAGTTTCCTCTTGCTTATTCAACTTATATTCAAAATATATATTAAGCGAAGCTGAGTTGGAAGAAGATGAGCATAGTTGGAGGAAGAAACCCCAATGCTTTGCTGATGACAGCTGATGACATCAAAAGACAACCCTGATAGCTGAAAATATAAAAGATCTGCCAGCCCTCATAATGAAAGTCATGGAGCAAAGTAAAAAAAAAGGGGGGGGACTAAAATATAAAGATTGAACTACTGACTACAGTAGTTCTGTCTTAAACTGACAGTGAAGATATTGAAGTGGTGGCTAGCTTCTGCATTTTAAGATCAATGGCAAAGGAACAAGTAGGTAAGAAATACACAACAGACTAGTCCTTGGGAGAGCAAAATACTTGGAAAAGGTATTCCAATGTCATGCCCTGCCCACCAAGCCATGTCCACAGAACTGGTAGTAAAAAAAATTTGAACCCCACCACTGGTCATGATGTGTCTATACCTCTACAGAAATCAGAATTGTGCAAGCCATGGTACATCGCGACATTATGAGGAATCCAAGGTTAAATTTTGAAGAAGGATGCGAAGATCTGCCTCTCAGAGGAAATTTTGTTTTGCATTTTGAATTTCAGGGGTTTTTTAATTGAAAAAGCATAGTTAAGTAGAAGGAATTGTTTTCATTTTCCCCCCATTGGCCTTCTAAAGAATTGGGATACAGAGATAATTATATTCCTGCTCTTAAATAGAAACAACCATTTTTATTTGTAATAAAATGGCATAAAAAGCTTAGAGAGCTGAAATTCTCTAGCATATAACTGAATTGTGGCAAATGAATGGACATTTGTCAGTTGAGCAAGGACCTGGCTGTCTTAGGACTGAGTTTCATTTAGACTTGACAACTAGTAGGAGTTTCAGAAAGAGTAGCAGGAAATAAAATATGAGGATAAGCAGTGCCCTCCTGGATCCAGCCCCTGCTTTGTTGCCTTTCTCTGAACCCTCTTTTTTATGCCTAGCAACCTGAATTGCACGTAGTATTCCAGATACAATCTTACCATTGATTTCTATAAGGGCATTGTGATATTTTATTATTCAACATACACTTGGCCTTTTTTTTACAGCAAATGTAGTGTTGTTACCATTACCTTCCTCATCAGTCACTGCTACCTCTGACCCCATTAGTTTTATGAATAATTAGTATTTTTTGCACCTGTATGCATCACTGTACACTTGCAGTGTTGAATGACATCTGCCATTTTGATGCCCAATATGCACAGATCCCCTGGAGCTGCTTTTACCACTGTACATTTTAGTGTCATAAGCCAACTTGGCTATTCTGCTAGTCATGCCTAATTCCAGATTATTTACACAGGTTAAAAATCAAGTCCTGGGACAGAACCCTGGGGAGACCTCATTTCTTACATCCTCCATTTAAATTTTAATTTATTCCTATTATTTTGTATTCTTTAGCCAGTTGTTTATTCACAAGAGAAGCTGTCTTTTTATTGCATGGCTATTAAATTTACTGGGAAGTCAAATTCCTACCCACAAGTTTATTAACATCCTCAAAAAAAATTAATATTGTAATTAGGCAGAAGTTTCCCTTTAATAAAACCATATCAGGTACCCTTGAGCAAAACCTGCCTCCAAATGTTTTACAATTTTACCTTTAATAGCAGTCTTCCCTGGGAGGGACATTAAGCTGACAGGCCTATAATTTTCTGGATTTTTCCTTGAACTCTTAAAAGTTGGTGCTATGTTGGCCACATTCCAGTCTTCAACTACAGAGGCTGAGTATAGAGACAGGATGCATATTTTAATTAGAAAGTCCACAATCTCAGCTTAAGCTCACGAATGGCCTTGGGTGGATACCACCGGAGCCTGGTGCTTTATTTGTTGGATTTATTTGCCGCTCATCTCACTGTGGGGCTACTCTGGATGGCTTTGTTGAAAATCAGTTTGTCAATAAAGCCTACCACTTCTATGAATTACATAATTACATAATTCTGACCCCAATTGCACAAAGTCAATATAAATGTTTAGGCATAGGCATTGCAATCTGCAATGAGAAACTCTCGCTTTCTCAGATGAATGCAACTTTTTATAGGCTAGAGGTTGCCCTTGGTTTTTGAGTAATGTATTGAAGGTCAACCTTGAAAATCGGTGGGTCAGAACAAAAACATTTGATAATATGTAATAACAATTAAATGTACGTCTGAAATCTATTTAGTCTATTTAGTTTCTTCTACCTATTACATTAAAAATTGGATAAACTGAAAAACTATGGCTAAGATTTTACAGGGCAATGTGTGACCCTCAACTTGAGCCGAGGTGGCGCAGTGGTTAGGGTGCAGTACTGCAGGCCACTTCAGCTGACTGTTATCTGCAGTTCAGCGGTTCTAATCTCACCAGCTCAAGATTGACTCAGCCTTCCATCCTTCTGAGGTGGGTAAAATGAGGACCCAGACTGTGGGGGCGATATGCTGACTTTGTAAACCGCTTAGAGAGGGCTGAAAGCCCTATGAAGTGGTATATAAGTCTAACTTCTATTGCTATTGCTAACTTGTGCCTTTCTGATCTATATAGTATCCTGGTTCAGCCACTTTAAATTTGGTTGCTTTGGGCATTTTGCAGGATTCATAAGTTAGTTAAAAGGTATACTAAAGACAGAATTGCAATTCTTAAAACTTCCAAAAGTTAAAACCCAATACGAGTGGATTGAAATATTTATTTAAAAATTGAACACACACATGTAACATATTGTACAAAGAAAAAATGTATTTAATACAATAATTAAACGTTTTCTTGGAAAGAAAAGAGCTGGCTGCCCGGGTCAATTGTTGATTAGGCCCAAGGTAGCATTTTTTGTCATTTTAAGGGAAACTGTTCTAATGGAAGTTTGTTCACAACCACCTGCTCAATTTAGGAAAAGTTTAAAAAAAACAACCCAAGAGCAAGCACTGAGGAAATCATTTTTCTAGCACAACAAAACCGTTCTTATCCAAGTCTCACATTAAATCACTCTTAGTTTTCTTCCTTTTTGTCCTCCACATGCATGGCCAGTCAGCCTGAAAACCTGAGGTAGTTGGGGAGGGCACCAGATGTTGAAGGGATGTCCCTGGAAAGGCTGAGCAAGGACATTTCAGCGCCATAGGAAATGCCTCATGTGCTGGGGCAACAGGATAGTACCTGATGTTTTGGAGCGAGGCAGGCAGGCAGCTGATTGGCCTCATTCAAGCTGGCGGTGGGAGAAGTGCTATTTGGTATTTGGGCTGCCAGCCATATGGCAAGGCGACCTGGGGCATAACAGGCACCAGTATTTGATAGGCTGGTTGGCCTATGCAGTGCTTTTAGGAAAAGAACTTCTTTTTTTGGGGGGGAGAGAAGAGAAGATAGGTGGACAGATCCTTTGAGAAAGAAGAGAAGCCCTAGGTCTTTTTGTCCCCTCCCCAAATGGCAGTGTGCAATAGATAAGCTTATCTGAGTTGGGAGACAGAGTTAAGAGGTTGGCAAGGAATTAGGTATGCCAAAGGCCATGGCAGCTCATTCAGGAACCAGATTTATGAGCTTCTCTAGTTGAAGGCAAAGCCAAAAGGGTCTCTGGTCTCCATAAAATGGCTGACACCAGACTCAGTAGCCTTCTCATGGCTTCTTCTAATGTTGAACTTTCAAAAGAACCCCAGGCCCCTTGGCAGCACCTGCTAAACATAAGCACCACTTCGGAGACATTTTAGGCAACACGAGTTAGCCAAATTATTCTACTTGGATCACATCCTGAAGGCCCCCACCCGTATGTCTGACATATATCAGCTAGCTTGCAGAAATCAGGTGTAGGGCAGCCCTACCCAAAACACCAGAAAGATACATGGCTTCAGGCTGATTGCCCCATCCGAGATATGGAGCAGACTTGGTTTGATTGTTCCCTCAGCAGTCTTGCTTCGCTTAGGAGACAGTATAGGTTTTGCTGCTTGTTCTTCTATTGTCTGGCTGACAATGGTACTAGTCCACACAGGTACGATGGGAGTAAATAAAATGTTCCCTATCTGAAAACCACTAAAATAGCTTTTACTAATCTAATGCCAGACTACAGATGTTCTTCACTCAGGACTTCCTTTGGTATAACATTTTGCCTGATGCTGGTGGAAGAGCTTAGTCCTCAGGCCCTTCCCTATACAGCAAAAGCAAGACTGAAAGGAAATATCCAATTTATAGGCAACAGCATCTTTATTCTTCTTTCTTCTGCTTTTTCTTTCCTTAGAGGCTCACAGTGATCATGAGGTGCCTGAGACAGCTGTCAGGGAAGGCAGTGGTATAGAAGGCAGTGGGAAGAGAAACCACATCATCTATAAAAGAATCCAGTTCACCTTCCAGGTGGCACAGCTGCCTCGTACTACTGGTCATTTCTTAGATGGTTGAAGGAAAGCTAACAAGCTGTGCTGAGGTCATCTGGCTCTAGGCAGCTTCCGCTTTGCTCATGGAGTACAGGTGGTTAAAAGGCCAACTGGCTGGTATGTGGACTAACAGCTGGTGCCCCGAACAATAGTCAAATATAAAGTCAGTTCCTTGGGCCCCTTCAGCCTCCCTTCCCTACTAGCAATTCCTACTTCTAGATTCTCAGTTGTTGTTTATTGCTGCTCAAAGCACAGTGAACTACTCTGAGGCAGTGGACAGTGTCCCACTTTGTTGGAGCAAGGCAGGATGGGGCAGCAGAATGAGAAATGGAGAAGGTCGCAGTTCCTGAGATGTGGCAGACCAGGTTACACAAACCCCTCTTCTGTAGAGACTGAAGTGGCCCTCAGAGAGACTGGTACCTTTATGTGTATGGGTAGACTCAGTCTTTTAACCAACCTCCTGCCACCATCCTGGATCTGAGAAAAGGCAAGCAAAGAGAATGAGCAGCAAGATCAGCACTATCCCTGGTCTGGTGTAGAGCCAAAGTTAACAAAACAGAGGCTGTGCAAAATATAAGGAAGTGACCTGGGAAGAGGCAAGAGGAAACCCAACTCTGCAGAAATGCTGTAACATACATATGGATGCAGGATTTGTGTTTTATGGCTATGGCAGGGCAATGCTATGGATACTGTTGCGGCTAGGAAACTATTTTTCTCCCCCACAGCTTTGCTGCTCTCTTCTTAGTCAACAGAGGACCCTGCAGGGCCAGCCCCAAGTATGAATGTATTGTTGATGAGCACAGGCTTTGTGGTATATTCAAATGAGTTCATCATTCATATTCAGAAGTAGTCACATCAACGGAAGGGTCTTCTTCTCTGCCTTCTTTCTCAGAGATCCTAATCTGCTCCTGAAGAACAAGAGGAATAATGATCATTTCAGATCTATCAGAAAGGGGGCAGGTCTTCACATAGGTTTCAACTCTGTGAGCGAAGGGAACTGAAATATTTGTAGAAGGATTACAAACCCGAAGTGTGCAGTTAGAAGGGCGTGATTTGTACAGTTTCCCATGGAAGTCCTTATTCAGAACCTGTAGTCCTGAAATCATCATCTTTACTTATGTAGGCAAAGAATCCTACCACTCAGTCACAATCTACTTCATTTATCCCCAACTTTAGCTTAGACAAATAAAAGTCTGACTTTATTTCATCCCATGTTTCTAGGCCAAGTTCAAGGACTGTCCCCATGCCTGTTAACTTGCTCCTTTTGTTATGGTCTTGGAATTAAGAGATGTTTCGGATTGGAGTGAATTACTTCTGGATCACTGCCCTGTGTCATCTCAAAGTGTTCAAAGAGTTAAGGGAGAAATGTCGATAATGTTCCTTTTCCTCTTAATTTCCACAATACCAGAGAAGATAAGAATTGCAAGAACAGCTAAAACATTGCAACTGGAGAAGAAAGCTTGCAGCTGAAGCAATGAACCCTTGTTTCTGGAGCCCCAAATTCAATACATGAGCTTGTGAATCACCCAGTCAGGGAGACAGCTGTCAGATCTTACTTACCATTCTCATCCCAACCCTCAGCTACGCCTCCCAGCTCGTAGTGCTTCTTACGGAGCTCACCCAGGCGCTGGCGTTCCTTCTGCAGTTGGCTCTCCAGTTCCAAGACTCGGACCTAGCAGGAAAGATATTACTTTCCATAGCACCAGGCCCTTTTCTGATCCCTTCCTATACTGTTATCTTGTCTCTTCTCCAATTGGCCAAGCATTCTTCCTTCTCTGTTACTTCCCCACTTTACCTGAGAGTCCATTTCTTGCCGTTTCATCTGTGTTAGTGTCATGTCAGAGAAGTCCATGCTATCTGTAGGGGAATATCTCACTATTATTCTCATTAAAAGGTGCCGTTCCCCAGCCCTTCCCTCACTCAATTGGCTGAGGTTTCTTGCCACATAGCTGGCAAGCATAATTGTGCCAATGGAACCATAAGCCACTGGATGAATATGAAAAGTAATTCTATTTAGCCAGAGATATTTTACCACTCACCCTTATAAAGTTACTTCTCAAGAAAGGAAAGGGACTTTTGTCATCCACTTGTGCAGTGAAGAATATTACCTTTCTCCTGTATTTGTGATTTTCCTGACTTAGTGGAAGCCACTACTCTGGCTGTTGCCTGATTGACTCCTCGAGAGGCAATCTGAAGCTTGCTGAGATTTACACTGTCTTTGTCTGCTTTTACCTGTGAGATCAAATTGGAGATTCAGATAATTCTTTCGAGGTGAGAAAATACAATTTATATGGTACAAATGGGATAAAAAATAGACATTCCACAATATGTGCCTTCGCAGGAAACTCCAAAACCTATTAAAAAAACCAAAAGCTCTAGCAGACGATGTGAGACAGGGAGGTACTGAAAACAATATTCAATAACTAATCACAAGCATATGGAGTGATATTATGGCAATACCATTATCTAAAACAAAATAACAAAAAAATGCTTCTGTCCACCCCAATTTTTCTCTTTTTTCACCTACCTATTCCAAATTCCATGTTTTCAACAGACCCAAATTGTGTTTCCAGAAAACTCTAATACAGTTTTTATTCAGCAATTATCTTTAATTTTGGCAACATCCAGAACATGTGGGTTTCTATTCCCAGAATGTCTCAGTCATTATAACCATTAATGGAAGTTCTGGAGGTTGGTCCTCACAACTAGAGAATGTCTAGTTATAGAAGGCTACTCCTTAAAAGATTGGCATGGAGTTATAAGACCATAAGCCAAGGAACCATCAGAACCAAACTTCTTCAATTTGTTTGTGACAATAGGTTTAAAAAAAGAGAGAAACTGTTGCATACTAAAGGAATTGTTTGCTCCCAGATTAAAAGTCCTTTGATGTTCAAGAAATGATTCCTTTACCTATGGAAATCTCATTACTATAAATAGTAATCAATGGCATCTCCTAACCACAAATTCCATGGGGTATCTCTACGAAAAAGCCTACCTAAGTAAATGAACTGCCAGCATGTGTTATGGACTAATTCCTTAGCATAGCTAAGGATGAAGGATGTTTAAATAACTATAATAATTAAAACCAGAGGTATAATGATGTTGATATGGTAAATATTCGAGTTAAGATATTTGAATTAATAGGAGTCAACGGAAGAGAAGCACCAAAACATGTTGTAACCAGTTGATATACTTCTTATTTTTTCATAATAGACACCTGTGTTTTGTTTTGTTTTCCTGATTGTTGTTTTTGTCTTTTTTTGTATTATCTGTAATTGATTGATATATTAAGAAAGATGTTGTACTAGTTTTAAACTAAAACTAAAAAACATTTAATAAAAAAGAAAAAAAAAGAAAAAGCCTACCTTTGAAGCAGCAACAAGCTGAGCTGTGCTTGCTGCAATTTCATGTGAACAAACCATGAGTTCTTCAAACTTCCCGTTCCCTTGAACTACAAGGTCAGCAGCATCTCTATGGAGACAAATACAAAGGGACAGTAAATCCTTTTCTTCTAACTCTTCTAGCCATGATTCAAAGCAACACTGCACAGATGTTGTGCAGTAACATGACAATGCCACAATTGGCTGGGGCCATGCTGCAGAAACTTACACCAACACTGTTGCTCCCCAGCCTACAGCCTTGGAAGCAGAAATCAGGCCCTCTGTCCAACGGGAATTTCTGGCATAGAATTCTTTGGGGGATGCTGCTCCCTGCAGAAAAAAATGGAATCACATCTAAGCGTTGTAAGTGAAATATAGAGAGTCAACCAGTTTAGTGGCTAAGGAGCTGGGCAAGAAAAGAGGAGGCTGCCCTCCCTCAGACAAGTACTTTAGGCCAGTGACGTTCTCTCAACCCCACCCATCTCACAGGGATGATGTTGTGGGAAAAATATAAGTATTTGATAGGTATGTCACCTTGTGTTGACCAAATACAGATGGGATAAAAATATAATAGACATTAAAATATTAATAAACATTAAATCTGCCACCCAATCTTATTACATGCTTCAATAAATGAATTAAGAGCAGGAGGATTCATTAGCTCTGTCTTTAAGCGAGAATTAGTATGTTTGCCTATCTTACCTTTAATCAGCCCCACCATAATTGCTGGTATCTTTTTTTCATAGAAATACAGTATGTTGTGGTGACCGTAGAGCACAGCAGGTGGGAAGTGAAAGTTACCCTGTTACAAGACTGGTACAGACTCACCCTTCCACTCTCCACAATCTCTTGTTGGAGGTCCTTGGAAGCCAACACCAAAACCTGAATGGCCTGCATTAAGTCTGTGCAGGACCCCAAAATCCTGCAAGATACAAAACCAATGATAGCAGGAGAAGACAAACAGAGTAATCCCACTGTAGGATTCCCAAAAGCATTTTTCTGATGTTTTTGTGCACTTTTTTGCATCACTTTAGTAATGCAATTAACACAGTTTCCATACTTCAACTAGAGTGACTATGGGAGGCTTATCTTTCCCTTCTAGAATTTTGTATCATAAAAAATGCAATTAGTAAAGCTGTGAGTATGGGAGCGGGAAATGAGTCAGTGATGTTTTAAAAACTTTAACCTATAGGAAGTCTGCATTAGTCCTTCTCTCCCATTCTGATAGAGATTCAAAGCTGCTAGAGTTTGGAGAAGGAGACACACAAAGCTGTCATTTGTTTGACATTTCCTTGGTGTCCGAATATATGAGAAGGAAGCTGCAAGGGCACATGTGGGTCTGCAATCCATTATACAAGCACAGGAATAAGTGATGCTAAATGGACAAAGCAATTCAGTCTAGTTTTCAAATACTGTCGATGCCATGTGGGGGGAAATTGCATGGCAGATGTTGCCATTCTCCCTCTCTCCCATAATTTCCCCAGCATTTAAATTCACCAGGTTCAAACTTCTTTATAAGCTGCAGGAGGTACCTAGTATCTGAAGGCATCAGTGCCAGCCTTTAATACCAACCTCTCATTGACCTCAAACTTGACTCCTCTGTCCCCTGCTCGTGATTTGTTCAGCATCTCCTGTTTTAACAAGGGGGAGGAGTGGGTTAGAGTTCAGATTAACACATCCAATATCTCAAACAATGGAAAATCATTTCCATTTAAACCTTAACTCCAGAACCCATTCTTCCAGGACATGGAACTGCAAATAAACTCTAATTTCTCAATCTAAAAATTCCCTTTCTAAAGTAATTTCACATAAGGGTGTGGGGCAGAGTGAGAATCTAACATTTCTGCATCTCACCTCAATCCTGGCAGCTGCTATCTCAACAGCTGCAGCTGTTGCTGCCATCTCTTCATCGACTAGATCCCCCAGTTTCTCTTCCTCAACATCCAGGCCTTTGGGCCGCAGATCCTGCAGATTGAAAGAAAATGCACAAACTGATCTTCCTGTTCCTCTTGTCTTCACATGAATCTTCCTCTGTAGCAAAAGAGGAGCTCAAAACTCCCCAAAGAGAGATTTCTCTTCAGTGGATAATACGGTAGGCTCACTGGTCTGGATAGCTGCCCCTGGATCAGACAAGGAATCCTGCTTCTCATTCTTCCTTATGCCATGGGGTATCCCACCTGTCCAATTGAAGTGATCTGGTTGAGACAATTCCTGACAGCAGCGCAATCAGCACTTCCCAAGGTAGCTTTATCTTTCAGCATTCCCAGATAGTGCAAGGTCTCATTCCCACATTGCTTGCTGGTCTCCAACAGCACTGGAAGCATGCAAGGAAAGGATTATTCTCACTGGTATGACCTAGAAAATGGTTACATCTCTCTCCCCCCTGATATACATAGATATGGATATGCGTGTATCTACATGCATGCATGTAAGCATGCAATCAGCATGTGTGTCTGTATCTCCCCAGTCTACAACAACTCTAGCTAGCATACAGTAAATCATTTCTGATATATAGTTAAAAGCACAAAATCTGGAAGAACATCCATTCAAAAACAATAGAATACACAGGACCCACCACTCAAGGTCTAAGAAAGAAGCCATGTTTTCAGAGTTCTTTTGAACATGGCCAGGGTGGGGACCAAATGTTTCTCAAAAGAGATGTTCCAGAAGGCAGGTGCTGTGACAGAGAAGGAATGTTTTCCAGGTTCTATCAGGCCACAATGCTTAATGGAAAAACCTGAAGCATGCCAATTCTACTGAATTTTACAGGCCTGTAAGAAACAACAGAAGACAGATGACCTCTTCAATAATCAGGTCCTCTGCAATGAATACTCACAATCAGCAGATTCCATGGGGGCCGTGTGCGATGTGGCACTAGCCTGCAGAATGGCATCGCCAATCAGGTGAGCAAAAAGAGGCACGCATGATAACAAACTGCTCACATCTAGGTCCAAAAAAAAGAGAGCACACAAATTAAGGGAATGTTAACAAAACCCTGAACCTTTTGAACCAAAATGGATAAGGGTGAAACACATGAATTCCGCTTAGGCTCACCTAGGCTTTTTAATGCCACGGTGATGTATGTTTTCTTTTTTCTATTTTCCATTTTCAAAATGTTACAGAAAAAAGAGTCCAGAAATTCAGGAATGCATTAATTGTATATGTTGTCAGGGCTTTCTATTTGCATGCTTGTTATGTACACTGGCTGTTCAACTGGTGTAGTTATGAATGTCTCACCTGACTGGTCAGAAAGGTATTGGCTGCATGCTTCCTGTAGCCGCTCCACACATTCAGATGCTGCACGGGTCCTTGATAAAAGGTAATCTATGCAACAACAAAAGCATACATTACATAAGCTCTTCTAAGAAGTACAACTTGAAGCACAATTTGATGTGATATATATACACAACTCTATCCATTTTTAAATTAAAAACCAGACATTTAGTAATGAAGGAAACAGCAACTGGCTCTACACGCCATTTAACCCTGCCTGCTAACCTGCAGAGCTTGTGCTACTGATATGAGTGGGATCTTCGAGTTGATTGAGAGCATCCTGTACTATCTGTTCAGCCTCTTTCACAGCACACTGAAGGAGCACAAACTGTTTGTCCAGGAGCTCCTGCTGAAGAGCCTGTGTGTTGCCTTCCTAAGAGCAAATGAAGAGACACAGTGATGCAAAGTATCAGTGAACCATGCATATTGTCTGTTGGGACAGTTTGCAAATTAAATGGATTGTGGTTGGTGAGGCTCATAGAAGAGATAAAATTATACAATTGCATTAAAAATTATACGGAATGGAATGCACATTCCACTCACTTCACAATAGGAAACAGGACTAAAATATTGGTGCATTTCAAGACGAAAGCTCAATTAGTCAGAAAAATCACTGAAAGGTTAGAATGTTGAAGAAAACATTGGTGACCATTTTCTCTCCTGGGTCTGGAAAGAACCTAAAATCCCAACTGAGAAGAGGGTGAGAACATTTCAGATCTTCCATGGTTTGAAGGGAAGCTGGTTCTTCCAGTAACATACTATCCATGTAATCACAGCCAACTTACTGTTTCCCCCAAGCGGTTCTGCAACTCCTGGATTGTCTTACTGCTGTACTCCTTTTCCTTTTCAAGTGTAGCATGTAACTTCTGTACTTCAGCTTCCAAAGCTGCCACCTGCTGATCACGCTGAGCCATGGTTTCTGTGAGAATGTCTTTCTCTTGCTTCAGGACAGCCAGATGAGCGGTGTGCTCTTCTTCAGACTAGATAGGCAAGGGAAAAGAGGAGGAGGAGAAGTGGAATCTTCTTTTCCCTTTGAGTATATACCAGTTCCAAAGAAAGCATATAAAATGGCAGCCATAACCCTATTTATTTCCAAGGATGCCATTGGCTATTTGCATTTGGTCCTCTCTCTCCAACTGAGTGGTCTAATTTTCTACTTCATTCCACATGCCTCTGGTTTTTGTTTCTGCACATTTCTACTCTTCAGATGGTTGCTGGGGTCCTGCTCTTTTACGGCTATACTTATCACAGAAGGGTAAGGAAAGACCCACCTGTGCAGTGGAATCAACAGTGCTCTGGAGACATTGAAGCTCCTGTTTGCTGGCAATGAGCTCTCTCTTCAATGTTTCCAAGATCTCTGCCTGTTCCTGTGTCTACAGAGAAAATGATAGGAGCATCAAAAAATGATTGTGTGCTCTTCTCAAACAGCTCCCTCTACCATTCTCTGATATTCCTACCACTAAATTTCATCCTAAATTTCATTTCTCTTTCAATGAAAATGAGGATCCTGCTACTTCTCTTGGCATCTCCTTACCTTTCGCTGGGCTTGCTCACTCAGCCGCTGAAAGGAGTCCTCAAGCTCTTTCTTGTCACGCTCTGTGTCACTTTGGACCTGTCTTGCCACAGTCACCTGCTTGGTGACTTCAGCATTCTAAAGGACAGAACAGGAACGGAAAGGGGGGAAAGGGAGGTTTTAGCCACTGGCCATCATTGTCCTAATAAAGTGGAGCCCTCCTACCTTATGGGACACTCTGAAGGGAGTGTCCAGTTTGGTTTAGTAGTTAAGGCACCAGGTTAGAAACTGGGATACCATCAGTTATAGGCCTGCCTAGGTATCAACGCCAGCTGGATGACTTTGATCCCATCATTCCCTCTTAATTCACCTGACCTCACAGGTTTGTTGTTATGAGAAAAATAGGAGGAGGAAGGAGTATTATGCATGTTCATTGCTTGAGTTATTAATACAAATAATAAAGGCAGAAAACAAATAAATTTCTCCTTGCCTCCTCACGTAAAAGGTTTTATTTTTTGGAATTCTAGCAACTCTTCTGGCTGGAGCACGTGTGCTATGCTGAAGATTCCTGTAGAAGCCTAGTATTCAACAGAGCTTTTTCTTGAGTCCTTTTAATTTCTGATTAATACTTGGAAAAATTTTGCCAATCGCTTCCAAATGGCAGGCACACCAAATAATTTTACTCAGCCCAGTTGAAAAATATATTCCTCCCTCTTTCCATCTGTGCCTGACTTTTCTAGACTACCTTAAACAGATTTAATTAAAACTGTAACTGGTTGGCTAAGTCAGGGGTCGGCAAACTTAAACACTCAAAGAGCTATTTTGACCCGTTTCCCACAGAAAAGAAAACACTGGGAGCCACAAAAGTCCTAACCGGAAGCCCCTGTTCAATTCTGGAGCTGACCGGAAGTTCAGTTCCCACACCATAGTGTCTCCTCCTAGTGCTCCTTTTTCCTCTACCTGTCATAACTGAAAGCCCTATCAATTGTGGAGACAACTGGAAAACCCTCCCCTTGCCATAGAGTCTTCTTCTGATGCACTGTGCTTTCCCCCCCACCCCACCGAAGCTCCTCTAAAAATTGTGGCGCCGACCGGTGATGGAGCCGCAACAGAAGGAGGGAAGAGCCACATGCAGCTCCAGAGCCGCAGTTTGCTGACCCCTGGTCTAAGTGAATGAAAAATATATGACAGTGTATATTGTCTACAGAGGATGGCAAAGAAGCATATAGCTGACCCAGACAGTCTCAAATCTCTTGTGCCAGTATGTCAACTGTTAATAAGGGTTTAGCCTTAACTCATCCCAAAGGCTTTTTGCTTTGCAATCAGTGAATAATCCTATTTTAATGTGCAGAGCCAGGCAAGATGATCCCTGGTTTTCTCTTACCATTGAACAATGGAGGGAAGTAAGACAGCATTACCTTGCGCAGGAGGTCTGCATGATTCTGCACCAGCTCACTGTGTTTTTCTTTTAGCTTCACATAGCGTTGCTCTGTGGTTTGTGCTTTCCCTATAACAGAAACAAACAGGACCTTGCCTGTGACTGAAAGGAAGGAGGGAGGGAGGATCACTTCATAAAACAAGCTGAGTCCAGTGCAGCTCTCACGTCAGCCCAAAACTAGGGAGGACTGGGCCCTTTTTCCTTCAGCCCCTCTGCCAAAGGAATAGCTGAATAATCCTCCTCTCTCACGTGATCCAATTCTAAACTGGAAGATCAATTCTAAAACTGAAGCCCTGCATTCAATATAGTTTGAGTGCCACATCTGGATAGCCCAAAGAAAACTGGGGACTGATTAAACTCTTCTCTGGGTGGTTATTATGGGATTTTCCATCCACATACAAGTCCTGCTTCTATAAACTGAGGCCAGGCAGCCAGCTTATTACAGTATTTGTTAAGGAGGCTGACAGATTATTAGTCTGCCTACTCTAGTACATTCTGCAATGTTCCTTAAAAATTAGAGCCAAAATATGTATCAGTTTGCTATCACGGTCTAAGTGGCTTCTATAGGAAACTAATTTTAACTGCTTTCTAGTAAAATGACTGTTCTGGTGAAGAGGCCACATATCTGCAATTTGTGAATGATGCCTAAACTGCAGTCCTTCTGTCACTGATGAAAAAAAGGCCCCAGTTGTCAAATTCTTTTCAAAGCTTACTCTCAATCTCTGTCAGGCTTCGCTGGGCTTTCTCTGTGTCCTCGTGCCTCTTTTTCCATTCATCCAGTTCTGTGTGCAAGAAGTCACTCTCATCCAGTGCCTGTTGCTTTAGGTGCTTCTGCTCTTCCAGCTCAGCTTCCAGCTCACTGATACGTCCCTTCAGCTGCATCACCAGGCGGTGACTCTGCAGGTACCATGTTTAAAGAGAGGGTGAAACAGAAAGATCACTGAGAAAACCTCATTAGTATTGAAGCGATTACACTATTCTGGCTATGCAGAGTTAAGCACATACCATAACAAATAAATCAAGACTGGATATCAAGTTGAAGCTTGGTCTTGAACTTTGGACTCTGGCACCATTCGTTTTTAAAAAGTGCAACTCTAAAACTTTGTTGTAGAAAGGTTGGCAGCACAGACAAATAGAAAAAGGTAAATGCTATCAATATTTCTGGTTACTGCTTTGGAACAATGGTCTATGAGGGAGGTCTTACCGTATTCTTATATTCTTAGCCTGCATGCCTATGGATTAATTCATCCTGGTCTAATATAATTCAGAGCAGAGAAGGTTAAAAGGAAATACCGGGCCCTTGCTTCTGATTGCTATTATGACAGCAAAAATGAAAGTCTATCTTCAGTTCTAGCTTAAGTAGCATTTTGCATTTCTGGAATGCTTTATGACTTCTTTCTGGATAGTAAAGCAAAGGATAGCAGATCCCGCTTTTCTGTATCTCCTGGGATTTTGTGTTTTTCTGGTTTTCCTACATACTTTCATCTCCCGACTAGAAGTTTCTGTATTTGGGCTTAGAAAAAACATGCCTGTAGTAATAGACTTTAAATTTACCTCAGCTTTGAAGTTCTTGTGCTCATCCTTAAGGGCATCGATTTCTCTGTGCAGCTGTTCAATTAACCTGTCCCTGGAAGGAAGGAAAAACACTTGTGCAATTTGGATATACATATTTTTAAATTGGATGGGAGGAAAGCAAAGTGAGACCTCAGGATGAAAAAAGGAGCCGAATTAATAGCAATAGTACTTAGACTTGTATATTCATAGTACTTTACAGACCTCTCTAAGCAGTTTCACAGACCTCAGAAGGATGGAAGGCTGAGTCAACCTTGAGCTGATGAGATCTGAACTGAACTGCTGGTAACTGGTAGTCAGCAGATGTAGCCTGCAGTACTGCATTCTAACCACTATACCACCATATTTTAAGAAGAAGTTCTTGATGCTTCGAAATAAACACATTAAGTTCTCTATCAAAGGCAATAACGTTTACAGCTGCTTGGCTATCCTGCTATTATTTCCACCATAATGCCATTTGTGTGGTGGATTTAGAGCATGGCCAGTGCCAGGAATACTGTGCAAAAGAAAAAAAATCCACATTCTGAAGCAAGAAAACATAAACTCAAAACCAAAACAAATTTCTATGTTACTAGTTTGTATTTTAGAAACATAGTCCACTTTCGCATGCTGCAGAGAGGAACAGAGAACCTAAGTGCAATTACATTTAGAAATTACTCTACTTCCATCCCAAAAGGAGATCTTGCAATTGTTACTGTCCCATACATAAAGCATAGATTATGAAGATGCTTCCTGGTAAGCTATTTTGGGTGTTTCATTGCACTCTGTACATGTATATGAAAAAAGCATCTGTTCAGCAATAATGAAAGTAAAGTTTTGTTCTAAATCAATAAAGGGCATAGTAAGAAATGAATAATCACTCACTTGTCTTCCTTGGTCATCCCATTCTGGCTGTTAAAGTTAAAGGGATCATTGCTGGAAGAACTGCCAAAGATGTCATCAAACTTATTGTCAAAGAGACTCTGAAAGATAAGATGGAAGCAGTTAGCTTCGTGAAAAGATAAACTTGCCTTGCACACTATCCCACCTCAGGGAAAGAGGGCCTTGACTTAAATCAGGGAATTTTCAGTAGAGTGATTAATCAGAAAGAAAGAAAGGGAACAACAATTATTGATACTCCAGCATATGTAGGAGCTCAGTTTACAGATAATGGAGAGCAGGCATTGTTTCTAAATCAGGGACATGGAAGATAATCTCCCCATTATTTTGACACCAGGGAAACCATTCAAATACACTTGATTTCTCTACTCTGCTTGCCCCCAATTTCTTGAGAGAGTAATCAGATCTTTCTATTTCATAGAAAACAGCTTTCCATCAATTACCCAAAGCAGAAAAGCCTACAAAAAAAAGTCTTAGCACTGATTTTCCAACTCTTGAAAATCTCTGACAAGACAGACAAAGGCTGAATAATGACAAAGTTTGCTAAACTGAAATACTATTTCACATCACCATAGCCAGAACAAATACCACTTTTCTTGGGATGGGCCTAGGTTTTCTATTCTTCAAAGGAACTCTGCCTTTCCGCTCACCTGCTGTGAGGAAGTTTCCATCTCAACAAGATCCATGATAGGTTCACTGTCTGGGGATGAAGCTTCCAATGGGATGACAACAACAGGGCTGATGTGTTCAGAGAGTGCTGAGGCCCGCAGAAAATTGGGGGGATTCTAGTGCATGGAACAAAGAATGATACAGAACTGTTGCATTAAAGAAGCTTAGCGCATATAGTAAGTAATACTGTAGTGCCCAAGGTTATTGCTCATTGCTCATTTTGGCATTCCAAGGACTACTTGGAATGGGGAGCAGAGGTGTAACAACCTCTCTCTCCACCAGTAACCAGAAATAATCTCTTCAAAAGCCTCAAAAAAACCTCAAGCAAGCATAGAATTGCACCTACAGGAAAATGAGTGAATAGAGAAAAGACTGGGCTTGGAGAGAAGATTTTTGTGGGAAACAAAGTTTTACTTAGATGCAAAATTTTACTCTGGTGAGTTCAGCTGAGTAGTGTGGCTGTCAGCACTCTGTGGGAAGAGAGGCACCCTCCCCTTGGTCATGCTGAAGAGAGAGAGTGGGGAGACAAATCACAGCATTTATTATCTCTTCTTTTCTCTATATAAACAGTATTCTTTTTAATTTTTCAATATTAACCCGATAGTTCTTTTTACCATTAACTGTGCATACTTTCAAAGATATAATTGCAAAAGAATTAGGTGCAAATCTGTTTGCAAAGGTGTTTTTTTTTTCTCCAACCACAAGTGCTGCATATTTGAGCCGAGGTGGCGCAGTGGTTAGGGTGCAGTACTGCAGGCCACTTCAGCTGACTGTTATCTGCAGTTCAGCGGTTCTAATCTCACTGGCTCAAGGTTGACTCAGCCTTCCATCCTTCCGAGGTGAGTGAAATGAGGATCCAGACTGTGGGGACGATATGCTGACTCTGTAAACCGCTTAGAGAGGGCTGAAAGCCCTATGAAGCGATATATAAGTCTAACTGCTATTGCTATTGCTATATTTATAAGGATCTATAAGGATTATTATCTCTGAACTGTATTTTATATGAATTAAATAATCCTGAATGGCCTGAATATTATACACACACACACACACACACACAGAAAGAGAGAGTGTGTGTGTGTGTGTGTGTGTGTGTGTGTGTGAGAGAGAGAGAGAGAGATTGAATGATTCTGAGAAAACTGAATGATCATTTATTAAAAACTTTGTTTACCCTACAAGGGTCTGCTTAAATTAAACACTAACCACAAAGCAAGACTGCAAATCTATGAGATTATAAACTGATTTGTGAGGATTGTTAAACTGTGCCCTAAACTACAATAAGACACTGCAGGTTCTATTTATCTGCAATTATCACTCCACTTTCTTCTGTGGATTACAAACTACACAGGGAAGAACCTCTTCGGTATTATTGCAAATTACTAATTTTCTAAAAAAAAATGTACACTAAAGACAAGCTAATATTTCATTTTTTTACTTTTAGTTGATACTATTTTTTCTTTTCAGCTGAGATTTTACTGTTCATCTTTTATTCATCTGTCATTTTCAATACATCTGCGAATTACAAATTATATCTAGAGAGCAACCTCACTTGCATTTAAGTTCTACTGCAACATTGGCCACAGGAAGGAACAAAAGGAAAACCAAGAACTGCTTAAACTAAGGAGAAATTTCCTGACAGTGAGAACAATTAACCAGTGGAATGGCTGGCCTTCAGCAATTGTGGGAGCTCAATTACAGGAGGTTTTTAAGAAGAAATTGGGACAGCCATTTGTCTATAATGGTATAGGGTCTCCTGCTTGAGCAGGGGATTGGACTAGAAAACCTCCAAGGTCCCTTTTATTCTGTTATTCATACATCCAACTGTCATAGTTCAGTTATGACATACAAGTCCCTTAAGTCATAGCTGAAGCAGCCTCAGCATAAATGCTATGAACAAAAGTGAGAATAGCAACTCTATGGATGACATTCACAGAAAGTCATGGATCCTCACCTCAGGCAGCTGTGGGATCTGAATCAGCCTTTTGAAATATTGCAGGTTGCTGGAGCGATACAAGAGATCCTTCAGTCTGTAAAATTTAAGGAAAGATATATTGAAGTCTAGCAAACTTTAAACAATCATCTGTGCAGTCTGTCAGACTCAGAGGGAAGCAAAATGAAATGGCAATCCAGAATCAGGATGATCATTCAAGGTCAGAGAAGAGACATTAAATAGCAGCAATGTAGAAATGATAATGCAAAACAATTGCAGTAGAGGCCTATTGACCCATCCTATCACTCAGTGTAATATTTAGATTCGCAAGACAACTCATCGTACTCAGCAAATAACAACACTGGGGCCCAATGTTGTCCTACTGATAGAATTTTGTATTTATTTAAACTGAATCCAAATTTCTGGGGATTTTTGGTACTAGATTCAAGATTGTTTAGAAAGCAGCCAATGGAAAAATGAATTGAATCCATAATATACAAAACAATGTGTGTTAGACTCTGTGTATTAGGGGTCTTGTGGAGTTTTTGGTGTTGTATTTGCATCTACGACTGTTATTCTTATTTCAGTTTCCACCTATTCATTTTGCATGTTTTGTTTTGTTTGCTTTTTAAAAAGTATTATGAGCTCCTCCAGAAACACTTGTTTGAAATGTGTGCGGCCATATAAATTGAATATGTGCATGCATATATCAATAAATAGAATCACAAAATCATAGGACTGGAAGGGATCTTGGAGCCCAAGACAGGAGAACATATTTCATGATAGACAAGTGGCTGTCCAATCTTTTCTTGAAGACATCCAGTGATGGAGCATCCACAACTCTGGGAGGCAAACTGTTCTATTGATTAATTGTTCTTACTTTCATGTTGTGGCCCAGCAGGAGCTGTTGGAGCTGCCACCAGATTCTGACAGTGAGGGGCCCTATGAGTTGGCTCTGGAGGATGTGGAGGGCCCTGGACAGGGTTCCGACTCTGAGCAGGGTGCAGAGAGACTGGTTGGCCACTAGTTGGCACCTGAGCCTTGGAGCAGTGGGGAGGAGACAAGGGAGAGTGATCCAGAAGCCAGCAGTGAGTTGTTCCTGGATACACGCCATCGAAGAGCTACTTGGTGTCAGGAACAATTATGCAATTACAAGAGGTAATTGCGCTCAGCTGGTGGTCACTAGGCTCCTCTCCAGACTATAAAAAAGACTGCTTGTGACACTCCCCTCTTGCAGAAGTCAATGCATTGACTAAAGAGAACGTAACTAACTTGGCAGGCTGGATTGCTGCCAAGATTTGTCTGAATTGCTGCCAAGGTTTGTCTGACTTGCTGCCAAGGTTTGTCTGACTTGCTGCCAAGGTCCTTATCTGTTTGTTTGCTTGGCTTTCAGCCACCGAGATTTTGGCTTCTTGCTATTAAAAGTACATTCTAGTTAAGCTTGTCTCGGCTTTCATTACTGTATGGAGGAGGGGGTCAAAACACTTTCATGTGGTATAAACATAAATACTATAGCATATGATATAAATAGATATTATTGTTCCTCTTTCATAATATTATAACTAAAATCACCTATGATATTCAAGTAAATTAAAAGGAACTATAGCTTGAATATCAGCTGTTGAAATCAACAACAGTAGGTGATCATTGTCCATATACCCTGGTTAGTTTTGTTTACAAATCCACCAATAGCGTTTATCTTGGGTTCTTCTTTCAACATAACTTGAACCCTTTCATATTTAGTTGGGAAAGCCCTGGCAAGCTTAGCATAGGAATGAAAAATTCTAAATATGAGCAAGAACCACTATTTCTAACTGCCTTTCTCAGTATTGGCTTACTCAACCATAAAGGAACAAAAGCATATTGGTATAATAATATAGTTTAAAAATTAAAGCATTAATTTAATTAATTAAAGAAATTAAATTCTTTAATTAAAGAGATTAAAGAGTTGTCATTGACAAATCCTAGGGGGATGAGCCCACAATTCAAATACAGTTAAAGGATACTATTTGTTTCAAAAGGAACAGAAATAATTAAAATAAACCCTTGACTTGTCCTGCTTAAACATCCAAGTAAATTTATATGGCAGCATTGGAGGGAGTATCTAGGTTAAAATAAGTGGGGAATGAATCAATTGCTATCATACAGGCATGCCCAGTTAAGGATAAGATGTGGAGGAAGCCTTTCAATGATCATTTTGAAAATCTTTCAAAAAGATATAACATAGTAGTGCTAAAAGATTTTAATTATTTTGACCAGTTGGGAAACACACTGCCAAGTTTCTCCCTCCAGGAAATTCCTGAGTTGCCTTGTTAATCATTTTCTATTTTGGAAAATGAAGAATCAGCTATATTTGTCTTTATGCTAACACGGAAGTAACAGAAATAATGTAGGAAAGTTACCATGTAATGCTGGAGTTCTTGATTTTTAGTAGAACTAAAAAGAAGTATAGGAAAATGTGGACTTTAATAAAAACAGCAGTCACAAGTAGAATTAGAGAAACTAAATATGAAAGAGTTCAAGGTGTATGAGAAGTTCTAAACACACTAGAACCATAATTGAAAATAATCCCATTAAGGGGAAAAATAAGGAAAGAAGCAGCCAAAAATAATATTGAAACAAAAAAGGACATATATAAGAAATGAAAAGAAGGTCAGGTCTCCAAGACATATCCAGATAACCTAGAACCATAAAGAGGGTGTCAAGAAAGTGAAACCACAAAATAAGCATACAATTTCTTATTTTTATTAAAATCCTATAAAAATAAGGGGAGAAAGCCATAAGGGGGGTTAAAGCACTAGGCTAGAAACCAGGGTATGAGTTCCTGACTTAGGCACAAAACCCACTGAGTGACCTTGGGTCAGTGACTTTCACTCAGTTCCAGGAAGAAAGAAATGACCACTTCAAAAAATCTTGCCAAAAAAGTACTTTAGGGCTATTGCCAGGAGTCAAAATTGATTTGGTACTACCTCCCCTCACCGTCACTGTGAGGGGAGGGAGAACCCAGGACAAACAAGAGAATTCTATACCCAGCGGCTGCTTGAAGATAAAGTATTAATCCTGCTACAACATATAATATTGCCAGGTTTTGCACAGCAATGCTTAAAATCTGTCAGATGAAGCCTGTGTCATAAACTAAACGAGCATTTATTAAAAAGTGCTTTGTGGCAGATTTAGTTTGCTGCATATGAACTTTTATTAACCCCTAAATTCATCTAACATTCCTACCTCTCCCCCTAGATTTTTTTTCTTTTAAATGAGACTTTGGTGTTTTTTTTTTAATGCTTTTTAATCTTGTGTACTCCCCCATCCTTATATCGGGATATATGTGTTTGTGTATGTACATTTTAATCTTTTTTAAAATAACATTTTTTAAAAATTACTGTTTGTATCCCACTCTCCATATGCTGGTCAATGACGAAAATAAAGATATAACTTCAAGGCACACATTTGTTAATAGAAAATAAAAAGTCCTAACTGTTGATTTGATGGCTACAAGGAGCTGAATGAGGAGGAAACAGAAATACAATCAAAATGATAAGTCCTGTTGATCAGGGGACTTGCTCATCTGGGAGCTAGTATGCAGTCTATTTTGACAGGGCTGATTCCTTCTGAAGACAGTTTAAAGGAGATTCCTTAATCAGATAGTGCCTGTCAAACTGGCAGCCAGCAGGTCGGATTGGTGGCGCACAAGCCACACCCACCCCTGCTCTGCAAAGCCAAAAAAAAATACAATACACGATACGTCACGTGACACAATCGAGTTTTGACACCTGTGAGATAGTGCTATGAAAGAGCACATCCACAGCATCAGAATCTACACAACTCATTCCCTCACGAGGCAATTTGAAATTAAATGCATAGTCAACATCATCCTAACGATAAACTACGCTGAACATTTACCAATGTTTGTGGTACTTATTTATTTATTTTATTTTATTTGTCTGTCAAACATGCATAAGATAACAAGCATAAACATGAACAAAGGAAGTAAATACAGATAAATGGGGACAGTAAGACAGGGACGGTAGGCATGCTGGTGTGCTTATCCACGCCCCCTTTACAGACCCCTTTACTTGTAAATTGAATGATCACAGAGAACATAATCCAATGAATGCTCTCCCTTTTTTCTTCTAACTGACCAATAGAAGAAAGTAAAATATTTTTTAATTGGTGTCCTCTCCCAGCATTGCCACTGGTCTTGAAAAATAAAAATCTCCCTACCATAGCACACAAAAAGAAATAAGCCTTCCTTTTTATGACCTCTATTTTTTTTTGGTATATATTATTTAGTTATTTATTTGGGACATTTGTACGCAACGTATCTCACAATTCTATTTATATACATTTTTATGGTCTGCCAAAATAAATCAATAAATCTGAAATTGCTGTGGAGGGAATGTCAACGCCCTTGTGATTTACAAAGGTGGAAGGGGAGCAGCATGCAGCAATTTTTCATCCAGATAGTACTTGGCTATGACCAAGACTGCACATTACTCTGCCTGTTGGGGGAGGGAGGGGACGTTAGTATTAAATAATGCATATATGAAAAGAGATCGGAACAGTTTTAGGAACAGGATGCTGAACCTCTATGGGAAAGAATAGCTTTATTGCAGCTGCTGTACAATGTGTAAGTTGGACTCAGGAGCTAGGAGTAGGGGGAAAATTCTCTCCAATGTTACTAATTAGAATGCATAACTGCAGCAGGAGATCCCTGGAAACTTTGTGATTAAAAAAGTGAACACAATACCACTTTACACTCAATAACCAAATATAGATAATATCATGAGTATAAACCAGATCTGAGCCGAGGTGGCGCAGTGGTTAGGGTGCAGGCCACTTCAGCTGACTGTTATCTGCAGTTCAGCAGTCCTAATCTCACCGGCTCAAGGTTGACTCAGCCTTCCATCCTTCCGAGGTGGGTGAAATGAGGACCCAGACTCTGGGGGCAACATGCTGACTCTGTAAACTGCTTAGAGAGGGCTGAAAGCCCTATGAAGCGGTATATAAGTCTAACTGCTATTGCTATTGCTATTTCAAAACATCAATTTGTTAAGGACCATTGTTAACATCAATGGTTCAAAACATCAGTTTGTTTATACTCAAAAGATTTATAGTATCAGAAAGTAGAAATCTGTTTAGAAACTTCAAATCCGGTAGCCAGAGTGTGTGTAGCACACAAAACACAAGTAATCCTCGACTTACTAGTTCATTTAATGACCAAAGTT